TCCAGAGTGTATCATTTTATCCTCCCCATCTTCCCAGTCTTGCTGTTTGTGTACAAGATGGAGCAGGAGCTGAAGCAACTGGGTGCAGTATGAGTGCGGATTGAAAACGGTGGGCCTCTCTGCTCCTGCCCCTTCCCCTCTCCAGGTCTTGACCATTCTTCCTCCATGGGTCTCAGTTCTATGGGGTCTGGCAGATGCTGCACATAAGTGAGGCATTTTTCAGAGAGAAATGTTCTGGCAGGTGGTGACTCTGTGGGCAGGCAATGGTAAGGGGGCATGGGTGGGGCTGGTGGTAGGGAGTGAGAGTTGGGAGATGATGAGATGTTTCTCCTCTTCACAGTATTGACAATAGTGGGTTTTGCTATCTGTGAATCTATGAGGGTTATTTTAACCAAGGCCCCACTCACAGTTGATGCTCACATGAAGTTTGAGCCATTCTGCCTCACAGTATTCTGCCTTCCAGTCATGTCCATCCCGGGAATGGATGCCTGGGGAGTTCATGTGCTCCCCATGACAATGTGTGAAGGATGCAGCTGATGGGTCATGTTGAATCATTTTGCCTTGTTGTAGGCTCAGTTTGGTGGCTAGTGCAGCTCCCAGCCCCAGCAGAACTGACCTGCCTTCCTTTGCAGGATCCTCCTGCGAGCCCTGCCCTGCAGCCTGGCTGGCATTTGATAGCTCCTGTTATAAATTTCCTACAAACACACATACCTGGTTCCAAGCCAAGGATTGCTGTGCTGAGGAGGGAGTTCACCAGGGCATCATCAACAGCCAAGCAGAGCAGGTGAAGACAGATGGGGCATTTTAGGGACCTTTCAAGGCATTGCAAGCTCCTGTCCCTGACCCTTGTAGAAATAAGAGCAAATTCTTCATTTAACTCTTTGTAATTTATGTCGACTCTCAGGACAAGGAGTGGTCACCATTCATTGGTGCCTGGCTTCTGGGCAATTATTCATGCTGCCCTCTGTCTGGAATACGCTTTCTCCTTTAATCTGCATGGATGATTCCTACTACTTTATAGGCAGCTCGAACACCATCCATTAATACCCTTCCCTGATCTCCTTCTTAACTCTGGACTCTTCTTGCAGACATGGCTCCATCACCCCACACATGAGGAATCCCACAGGCAAGGACTGAATCTTACTTGCTTTAGAGTCCATAATGCCTGGAACTGGGCTGTACATAAAGCAGGGGTGCACCTTTGTCAGTGGAATCCATTTGATTGCCAGCATTGAGCAGAGCCTAAATTCCTTGCCCTGTCTTCCATGCTGTTGAATGATACTCCTCACTACCACTCATCCACAGCATGCTCTTACTTCCTCACTGAACTGTCAGAAACATCTGGAAGGCACCTGCCATTGGTATCCCCATTTTATAGATGAAGAGCCTGAGGATCACAGAGGCCTATGATGTGCTGAGCACATATGCTATGGTCAGGTTGGAAACAAGGTCTATCCAGAGCTTTTAGCCAGTGCACACAACTGCTACCCTGAACAATGCTCCCGGCCCTTGGGAACATCTAGGTCTGGTCCTGTATATCTTGACTGAACCTGCATTCTGTCTATTTAGAATTTCCTGAGTCCAGATAAAGATGTTGCCTACTGGACTGGCCTCAGGCAAGGATACTGAAAAGGCATCTATAATTGGCAATAAGGCTCAGCCCTCATCTTCATGCGAGTGTCAGTATGGGGACTCAGAGCCCCTCAACCCCATTCAGAATTCTCCCTGGAGCTGGGGAGAGGCCATTTGAGGGTTTTCTCACCATCTCAGTTCTAGTTTTCTATAAACCAAACTGCTTATCTATGGTTCTGATGCTTAATTTTGTTAGCTGCAAACGTCTCTCTGTGTGTGTGTGGGTGTGTGTGTGTTTGTCTGTGTGCATGTGCACACATGCTTGCAAACCATAGATTAAACAACATCTAACAAGAATTCATTGTTCAAGATCATCACAGTATCCATAATATATTAAAGAGGATAGTATACTTCATGGAGGGTGTTAGAGAATGTGGGATTTCCAGCTTTATTAAGAGGTAGAGTTCCTCTGGAGTTATCTAGAATTACTAGTAAACACACTGGAAGAAACTGCCTGGGTAATCTAACTTTCCAGCATGGCATTTAACAACCCTCCAAGACCGGCTATCACCTGTCTTTGAACTTTCCTTGATTTCCATGCACCTTATGAGAGTTTCGCCCCAGCCTGCTGGACCTCTCCTGAGAACTCCTACTAGTCTTCATGCCATTGCTTCTGCCTCAGCTCAGGGCTCAAAGTTTCTGGGCAGAACAATTGCTGTAGATCTAATCCTGCCCTTCTCAACCTATGTTCTGCTCAAGGCCATGGTGCTATATTTTTACAATGTGTCTTGAACGTGGCTTAAAAATATCCAAGCACTCAACTCACATGGATAAAGTCCAGACTGTTTTCCATGGCACTGCTCAGTGCCCACACATGGACGATCATTAATCTTGACATTCTCACCTCCTACCCTCTCACATGCTGCCTGTGTCTTTACATTAGCTAAGTGCTGGATGAGTCCTCTTTGTAGACATTGACAGGTATCTTATTCTGAAGTTGCTCTTGCCATGCCATCTACCCATAACACACTTTATTTTCAGTCTGGCAAATTGCAATATGACTTTTGTAGAAGATCCATCTTGTGCCTAGCATAAATTAATGAGACTCTCCTACTGTCCCAGCCACACCCTATTGAGATTTTTGTGATTCTAGCTCTATTAGGATCTTCTTTGCCTATGTATGTGTTACCCAACAGACAGCCTGCGACTTGAGGGCAGAGGGGTACACACCTACATGTCTCTGGTGCCCATCAGAACACTTGGTATGCAACAATGTGCTCAACATATGATTGTGGAGTGAATGAATGAATCAATGGATGGATAAATGTTATTAGCATTTCAAGAGACATTATAAAAGAGGACAGGGACTCATTCCACAGACTTAGCACTTCTTGTATGCCAAATCTGAAAGACCTCATGTCTTCAAACTTAGGTCTAGGGATCCAGAGATGTCAGGTCACTTATCTATTTCCACCTAATTGGTTTAATGTACAATCAAAAGGTTGCACCAGACGATTGCTAGAAGATGGCAGCACTCAACAGGAGATTGTTTTCCTCTTAGGGATACTTGGCACTGTCTGAAAATATTTTGGGTTGTCTCAGTGGAGGTGGGGATGCACTGGCATCATGTGGGTGGAGCCCAGGGATGCTGCTCACTACCCTTCAGTGCACAGGACTGCCTCTCACCACACATGGTGATATGACTCCAAATGTCAATAGTTCACTGCGGTCAAAACTCTGCTATAAAATATAACAAGGATTTTTTGTTTCTTGGAATTTCTCAACAATCCAAGAGGCTGGGCCCCCACTCAGGTGGGCAGATCTTCTTCTGGGACCTTGATGGTGAGGACCTAGTTAGACATGGCTTAGTGTGTCCTGTCCCTGCTTGTGATTTTGAGAATTAACTGATTCTATTTCATATTTTCACAGTAATTGGCATCCTGAAAAATCTTATACATATGAATGTGTCTACAGGGGAAGGCTGGTTCCTGGATCACTGATTAATGTGAGCACTATTGAAAGCAACACTGGATCTGCAAGAAGCAACAGATCTGCTGATGTTGCTCCTTTTCCTCTTCCCCAGGCTTGTGAAAGACTGTCCTGATATGCGACCTCATAACAATGTACTAACTGCTCTGCAGAATAGGAAGTCTCTGGGTCTCAGTCTTCCTGCTAGGACTTTCTCCTCCTTTGCCTGCACTCTAATTCTGCAAGAGGAATGTGTAAAAGGACACCATGAAGAAACAATAAGCAAAACATTGTAGGACTGTCCACAAAACAACCCAGTTTTCCTAGAAAAAAAATGGCATGAATAAAGGAGAATGTCTGATTACCAGAATATAAAAACACTGTGAGGCACAGCTAGAGAAACCTGTGTACCATGACTTTGATTTTGATTTGAAGAAGACATTCCTGAGTAAATCACAACATTTGAGTATGCAGTGGATATCTGGAAGTATTAAATCTTTTAAAAATTAATTTATTAGGTGTGCTAATAGCATGCAAGTTTTCTATCTTTATATCTATCTATATATCAATCCACCCTATCTATCTATCCATCCTATCATCTATCTATCTATCTATCTATCTATCTATCTATCTATCTATCTATCATCTATCTATGTGAATTGCATGGTAGCAAATCATACTATGAAATTATGGTAAAGTTTTGTACTATGTGAGTTTTTTTTTGAGATGGAGTCTCACTGTGTTGCCCAGGTTGGAATGCAGTGGCATGATCTCTGCTCAGTGCAACCTCCACCTCCCAGGTTCAAGCAATTCTCTTGCCTCAGCCTCCTGAGTAGCTGGGACTACAGGTGCGTATCATCATGTCTGGCTAATTATTGAATTTTTAGTAGAAATGGGGTTTCACCATGTTGGTTGGACTGATCCTGAACTCTTGACCTCAGGTGATCCACCCACCTCAGCCTCCCGAAGTGCTGGGATTACAGGCACGAGCCACCATGCCCAGCTCATACTATATGAGATTTTACTTAAAATAATAAATATAAAAAATGGAAACTTTGTACATAAAAAACAGAATAGGACAAGTGTTTATAATTATTGAAATTGAGACATAAGAGTTCACTATATATATATATATATATATTTTTTTTTCCTTTGTGTCTGTTGGATGTGTCTGTATAACATTTAAGTTAATCAGTGTAATTTGTAATAACTCATATAAAGTAAACATGATTCAAAAGGAAACTCAGGAAACTAGTAGTAGAAAGGAAATACTCCTAGATGTGGTAGCTCATGCCTCTAATCCCAGCACTTTGGGAGGCTGAGATGGGCAGATCACTTGAGGCCAGGAGTTTGAGACAGGCCTGCCCAACATGGTGAAACCCTGTCTCTACTAAAACTACAAAAAAAATTAGCCAGGTGAATTCAAGCAATTCTTGTGCCCCAGCCTCCATTGGCTGAGAAAGAAAATGCCTTAACCTGAGAAAGGCACCTGCACAGAGTCCTATCATCAATATCATACGGAACAGTGTCGTGTTAAGAATATTTTATTTTAGCTCAGGCAAAATACATGAGTTCACATAGTTATAACTTCCCAAGATTATACTAAGGGTACTAGAAAATGCAGTAAAACCAGAAGGAAAACAAAAACAAACAAGCAAACAGAATAAAAGTACTTAAAACTGGAAAGGAAGATACAAAACTATCATTGTTTCACAATGACGTTATTGTGTTCTCAGAAACCCAAGAATCTATGTTCACCTTTAGAATCCTAAATGTGTAGCAAGTTTTCTGCATTCAAAATCAGTACAGAGATCAATTGATCTTATGAACCAAGAACAAACTAGCAGAAAAAGAAATATTTAGAAGAGGTAACATTTCCCATAGCACAGACACATTAAGTGGCCACAATGACTGCAGATAGTTCAATGCCTTTGAGTGAAAATTCCAAAGCTATGTTCAAAGGTACATAAGTGGACCTAAATAAATGCAAAGTTATACCATATTCATGGTTAAAAACTCAGTACTATGAAGATGTTAATTATTCCTCGTTGTTTTAAAAAGCTCTATTGGCCAGGAACGGTGGCTCACACCTATAATCCTAGCACTTTGGGAGGCCAAGGTGGGTGGATCACCTGTCAGGAGTTCAAGACCACCCTGACCAACATGATGAAACCACATCTCTACTAAAAATACAAAAATTAGCTAGGAGTGGTGGTACACCTGTATTCCTGGCTACTCAGGAGCCTGAGGCAAGAGAATCATTTGAACCCATGAAGCAGAGGTTACAGTGAGCTGAGATTGTTGCCACTGCATCCCAACCTTGGCAATAGAGTGAAACTCTGTCTCAAAAAAATTAAAAAGCTATATTAATAGATACTTTAGAAATAATTTCATAAATGAAGAGATATATAATCATCATAGATTGAAAGGTTAACAAAGGAAGGCTGTTAAAATATTCAAATCCAGCCACATAATAATGGGACGGGTGTGGTGGCTCATGCCTGTAATCTCAGCACTTTGGGAGTCTGATGCAGGTGGATTATTTGAAATCAGGAGTTTGAGACCAGCCTGGCCAACATGGTGAAACTCCATCTCTACTGAAAATACAAAAGTCAGCTGGGTGTGGTGGTATGTGCCTATAGGCTGAGGCAGGAGAATAGCCTGAACCTGGAAGGTGGAGATTGCAGTGAGCCGAGATCACACCACGGGACTCCTGCCTGGGCAACAGAGGGAGACTCCATTTCCAAAAAAGAAAAAAGAAAAAGAAAAAGGAAAAGGAAAAGGAAAAAGAAACTACATGGGATTTTATTAAACCACTGATAAACCATTAATGAAAAGAAGATAACACCTAACGGATCTGAAGACTTTATATTGTACTGATGTTCGTTCTCCTTCAGTTGATCTATGAATTTGATACAAATGTACTTCTGAATTGTATTCAAATTTGGAGGAATTGATATGCTGATTTCAAAACTATGAAAGAGCTTATTCCAGGGCAATGATCTCTTGAACAAGAAGTAGGTGGACGTCATCCCAGGAAGTTGTCATGACTTGGCTTCAGCACTGATGACCACACATGTATGTCTCACCTCGGGTATGAAGGCTGATGGGAAGGATAATTGGGTTTGTATTTATTAGCAGAATTTAATGGCATAAATGGAGGATAATACGTCTTCCTTCCACGTGTCTTTTGAGCTTTTATGGATGTAATTGCATCATTCCTAAAGCATGATCTTTCTGTGTTGACTTTCCACTTGTGAGCACAACAGGAAACAGAGGTGAGGGGCCTATTGCAGCACAAGAAAGAAAGTCCCACTGTGAAAAGATTATCCATCCTTCATCTGGCATAACCTAAGACCAAACCAGCAAACCCAAAAGTCACCACATCAACTGGAGGCGAAAGGGCCTTGCAGGACATGGAGCCAAAACACTTGAAGGACAGATGCATGACTGTCTTTGGGGAGTGGGCCCATAAGTAGTTTGGAGCCAGGTGCTGACCTGTAGTGACCATGCTGGGTGCCAGAAGCAGAGTGCAGTGCATAGATGAAAGGACACCAATCACCATCCCTGCCCCTGTTAAATACTGTAGATCAGAGATGCCACTTGGAAATGAACACGTAAGAGTGAGTGCACAGATCCAGGCATAATTCATACTCAAGGGTTGGTACTGCCCCATATATGTGCCAGGGCCCTGAACTCAATCTGAGCCGATGCTCAGTGAACCCCCAAAGTCATCCCACTAGCATCTCTAGCAGCCAAAACCATGAAAAAATGTCTTGGCAACTAGGCAGAGGAACAAATCTCAGAGCTACTTGTTGGCCTGTTTCCTCAAGTGGAAAAATGAGAGATGTTAGTGGGTCTTTGAAATCCCTTCTGCTTCCAAAACACAGCCACGTAGCTGCCATTTGCTGATGCGTAACCTGCACCAGACTCCGAATGGGAGTAAACATGGTTCCTGTCCTTGGGTCAGTGCAATCTTATGGGGACTCACTCAAGAAACAGACAATGATGTCTGGGAGGGAGGCCTGGCATGAAGGAAACAGTGGAGGTCATGGGACAAACGAGCACCTGCCTCAGCCATAGGGCAGTGGGGAGGGCTTCCCAAAGGAGGTGACAATCAAGATGAGACCTGAAGTGATAAAGCCAAGAGAAGGAGGAAAGGGAACAGGTGAGGCTAGAGGGTGACCCCTCATCCTTCAGGGCCATGAGAGCCAATCTGGTTTAAACAGAGATGAGACAGAGTAAAACAGGCACCCACATAGTCAGCAAAGGGACTGGACCTGCCTCTGACCCACAAGCACGGGTCACCTGCAGTCAGTCTCAGGCACTAAGGTGGGATCCATGCACTGAATCCCCAGTGGTGCAGAAGAAGTCAGGCAGTACCACACCAGATTTTCCCCTGTGGCTCTGCTCTGGCACCCAGGTAGGATCAGGACGCAGATTCTCCTCTGTGGCCCTGGGTTCCACAGAAAGGTCAGGATCCAGATTCTCCTCTGTATCAGGAATAGACAAAAGGGCTTTCCCATGTTTAACATCCCCTTGTATATGAAGATCTGTGGGCTTAACACTTCTCAAATTCAGCTCTAGAAAAACACCATAATAATCTTGCAGCTTTTCCTTCTGTTTGATAACTAGAGCTGTGTGTGCCCATTTCCCTTTTCACCATGGTTCCTAGGAAGCTCAGCATGAAGCTTCCTTTAGCCTGGGTTTCTGCTATAATTACCTCATCTTTTGTACTATTTGGCTCTGGATTTTTTGTCATTATTCTATCAGGCCTGAGTCTATCTCTTATTGTCAGATATCCATCTGGTTTATTCTGGACTAAATGTAAAATTCTGGGTAAAAATACTAATGAAAAAACTCAACCCATTATCTCCCTGTGAAGCAGATGCCCAAGATGAGGTCTGTGAGGGTTGACAGGGCTCCCACCCCTCACCTTAACTGTTCTCATGTTTCATCCAGGACCAGACCGGGTTGAATGGCATCTCTTCCATCTCACACAGGAAGTTGTCTTGGTGAGATGGCTGTAGAGGATAAGGGGAAGAAGCATTTGCCCAGGTCTCCCATATGGATGGGCTCAGATGGGTCTGGCTCACTCTGCAAGGAAAGGGAGGTAGGATGGGGCAAAATGGACGAGGAGGGCAGCTGCCTTCATGGTCTGCTCCACAGCACCTTGCTTGGGCTATCCTCAGGGCTAGCATGACCTTCCTCTCACCTCCTCTACCTGGCCGTCTTCCAAAACTTGGGTGAAAGGACCCCACCTCCAGAACGCCCATCAGATGATCCAGGCAGTTAGTGACTTCCCCTGGTACAGACCTTGGACAAGTGCAGAAGCCCAGGCATGGCTTGAGAAGGCATCAGAAGACAGACTGAGTGGTCAACACGTGTGTTCCATGAGCTTCACCTTGGGTGGGTCCCTTCTCTTTGGTGAGCCTCAGTTTCCACATCAAAGGAGAGTAACCCCTTCTTCCCAGCCACTGTGCTGGGGTGTTGCATACAAAACAGCTGGCCCTGCCATTCCTTCCTAGGCATTCCCTGGCCCCTGGATTCCTCAGTCTGCAACCCACAGTGACTCCTGCAGAGAAAACTCCTCAAGAGCTACCTTAATGCTCCTGCGAGGCAGATGACCTCATTCCATCCCAGCCTCCTATGACTTGCTGGGTCTGGCACAAAAGACTGCACCCTGCCCAACTGAGTCCCAGAAACTCTGTGCCCTGACATCCTCTGTAGGAGAGCACCATGGGGGTGCAGGAAGCTGCAGGAACTGTTAACAATCAGGGAGGGGACAGAAATGGCATGGAAGGGGTAGGAAGAACTCTCCCCCACTCCCCAGCCTATGCCGAATTGATGGAGGGTCATTCTGGAAGTCAGAGGTGTCAAGCACAGGGTATCCCACAGGCTGTCCCTTACACCCCTCACCCTCCACCCCAAGCAGGGCAGGACCACCTTGGCCTTGAGGTCATGAGCCTTTGTCTTGATGTCTAACCCCCAAATTCTACAAGATCAGCAAGGGGCCCTTCCTGCCCTGCAGAATTTCTCAGACTGGGACACAGAGGTTTTGGCCTTAGCCCCATGGGTATCACCCTGCTCTATCATTTCTGGCCATGTGATGTGGACATCACCGTACTTCTCAGAACTCCCATTTCCTTGAGTGTGAGGCAGGGACAAGTCATCCCTGTCACACAGAACTGTGGGGCAGACAAACAGCTGGCACAGGCAGAGTTCCTGCACACAGTAGGTGCTTGTGCCTGGTGTGACTCCCCTGTTTGCTTCAGCCCCAAAATCCCACTAGACAGGGATGGTCCTCACTGAATGGACAAAAAATACCAGAAACAAGAGGCAGCAGTGAGCGCTTGCTGGTGTCAGGGTTGGAGCCTGGTGGCTGGGCTTGTTGTTGTGTAACCTTAAGCAAGTTGCTCCACCTCTCTGAGCCCTGCTGCCCTCATCTAACCAACAGGAAATGAAGGCCTAGCACACAGTGAGTACCACTTACATGGTAGACTGAAAAGAAGTGGGGGTCCTGCCTGGAAAGGCAAGGGCCAGCCTTCAATGACAGACCCCCCACCCAGGAGCCCCCAGGGGAGCACACCTGGCTGTCTTTGGGGCCAGGTGGGCAGGCTGTGGGGTCCTTGAGACTCAGGTCATCACCCAGTGGGATCATGAGGGCCTGATCCCAGGGACATGGTGGCCACACTGAGGCAGATGATGGTGAAGATGTTCAGGTAGCGGCTGGCACACATGGAGTGGATGAGCAGCCAGGTGGCAGACAAAAGGTGGCAGAGTAGGGCAGCCACTGTGCATCTGCATGGGGTGCAGGGGGAGTAGCACAGACCACAGAGGGTTGGGGCCAAGAGGAAGGGCACAGAGCACAAAGGACAGAGAGTTGGAAAAAGGAAGGAAGCAAGAGGAAAGATGTTGGTCCATCCCAGGCACTGGGATCGGTGTTAGATCTCCTCCACGCAGCAGCAGCACCAGGAGAAATCATGAGGAAGGGTGACAGTAAAGACAGCACACTGATTCTCCCCATCTGCCCCACACAAGCCTGTGGCTGGGGCTCTGGGCCTGCCTTTAGAGAGGGCAGGTCTCCCATGGCCCAGGACCCAGCACAGGGCAACCATCCTCTGCCTTTGTCCTCTGCCTGGACTGAACCCCCCAGAGCATCACTCAGGTTGGCAGTGGTGTCAGCCATTGGACTCTGGGTGGACACTGATGGGGCTGTCCCCTGTACCGGAAGATGCTGGGAGAAGCAACTGAGCCCTGGGAACAGGGGCTGTACCTTTTCTTCTCTTCCAGCTCCAAAGGCCTAGGAGGCTGGGGTCAGGCCAAGGCAGAGGGGCCAAAGCTTGGTGGCCCATGCCCTTCGCAGGTGCCCACTCACTCTGGTGCTTCTTCTCCAGGTACTGCAGTGCCTCGTCAACCTCCTGGTGCTCCTGGCACTTGTGGAATTCTCCACTGTGATACCCACACACATGAAGAAGGTGATGATAATCAGGAAGGGTTGAAGTACAGCAACATCCAGGGATTGCAGTTGGTCACAGGCTGCAGGGGAGCCAGAGGGGGCTGTGGTGGCTGACCAGGCCGTGCAGGGCCATGGGCAGGTGCAAAACATGGCTGAGCCTCCATGGAGTGAGGGCATGAGAAGCCTGCCTCCAGGAAGGTGCTGTAAGGTCTAAATGAGACAGTAGGTATGAAGTAAAAACCCTGGGCATGGCGCAATAAAGTGTTCAGCAGAGAGTGCCTCCTCTCCTTCCCTGCTCAGCTGCTGCCTCCTGGACCATCTTTTTCTCTCATTCACCTATCCATTCATTCACCTATGCATCCATCCATCCATCCATCCATCCATCCTCTTTCCACTCACCCACCCATCCATCCACCACCCATCCATCCATTTGTCCATCTGTCTTTCCACTCACTCACCCACCCATCCATCCGCCATCCCTTCACCTATCCATCCACTCACTAGTGAGCCAGTCACCCATCCATCTATCTACTCACTCATCTGTCTATCCACCCACCCATCCATCCACCCACCCACCCACCCATTTATCCTTCCACCCATACACTCACCCATCCCCCCTTCAATGTATCAATTCCACCATGTATCCATCTACCCACCCATCTATCCACCCATCCATCCATCAACTTATTTAACCATCTAGAAACAAGGCAGAAAACAAGGTGGCCAGCAGAGCGGAGAACATTGCCTTGGAATCCATGTATGTATGTGCATGTGTGCACTGGTGGGGTTGAGGGAACAGAGCAGACAAGGAAGTGGAGGACGATATGTCCAAGTGTTCTCACTTCTCCCACCCCACACCAGCACCCCCACTTCTAGCTCCAGAGTCTTACCTAGTGGGATCCACGAAGCCAAGGGCCAGAGGTCCATTACAGGCCTGGGAGTTGCACAAAGCCCTGCTTTCACCACTGAATGGGCCCTGTCCTGACCTAGAGAATCTCCCTGTTCCTTCTCCCAGTGAGGCACTCAGTCTGGACATGTCTAACCCTGATCAGCCACATGTCTTGCCTAAAGTCCCCGCCTAACTCCGGAGGATGCCCTGCTCCCTGAAAGGTCTCAGAAGCCAAGGTTCAGTCTCTCCCCTGACCTCCTCCCTCCAATCCCCTCCCCAAACCCATCTTCCCCCAGCAACCTGCAGAACTGACAAGCAGGGGCGCCACTCTTGGTGTGAGGCCCTCACTGGCCCTCGTTGCCCTCAGAGTAAACCTTTGCCCATTGCCACAGCACACACTGGGGCTTGTAGACCACACAGTCATGTCTGCCTCCTCCTCCCACCTGCTGCCTCTCATTTTCTACTCCTGGCCCCCAAATCCCAATTCCCTAAACACATCACTCTCTCTCTCTCTCTGTCCCTCTGCCAGCTGGCTCAGCCCCTCTTCTCTGCCTGCACTTGGTTCTCCACCCACCAGGCTCTGCACCCCTCCAGTGAGGAGCGGCTCAGATCCCTCTCCTCACAGAGCAGGGGGCATTTGCAGAAGCAAATGGAACAATGATTTATGCTACCCGAGGAGCAGTCCCAATGGTGAAGATGTGGGCCAGGATGTGAGAGGTGGACTGTGCTAACAGTGGGGAGACACTGGGATGTGGTGTCCCTGGCACCCTAAACCACTGTGCCCCAAGAACACCATGTCCCTCCTCCTATCCTGGCTTGGCCTGGTCCCAGCTATACTCACCTGCTTGTCCACAGCAACCATCTCCAGTACATTGTACATGATGTTCATTCAGCCATCCTTGGATGCCATGACAAAGAAGGACATCAGAGCCTGGGAGACATGGGAAGGGGGAATGCAGGGGTGAGGGGTGTGAGTGACTCCAGAGGCAGCCACCCCTCCTCACAAGCCACCCCCTCCATTCTTCTGTCTCGGGAAGGTGGAGGGACAAGAGGCTTTCCCTCTGTGGCAGGGTTGTGCCCTCATCCAACAAACATTTCCTAAGGACTTACTATGTGGTTGCCACATACTCTGTAGTTGTTGCAGAAGAAAGAGCACTGGACGCATGGTGCTGGATTTTGGTCTCAGCTTTGAAGTTAACCAGCTGCGTGATCTTGGACAAGAAAATTCATGAGCTCCTGCCCCCTCATCCACAGAATGGAGCTAACAAGTGCCTGTCTGGCAGGTGTGCTGGGAGGGCCAGCTGAGGCTCAACCAGAAGGTCCCTGGCACCCTTACTCTGGTGTGTGAGACACGCTTTCCCCAGAACCTGAAGACAGGAGCTCATGAGAAGAGTCAGGAGCCCTGGGTCAGAGCCCAGCCCCTGCCACTCGCTAGTTGTGTGATTTGGGGCAAGTTCCTCCATGTCTCTGGGCTCATTTCCTCATCTGTAAAATGGCAATAATTCCTCTTCCGAGTTTGAGCAATTTTGAGAAAGAGGTGGTCCCCAGAAGACAGCCATGCAAGGCTCCCAAAGATATGGCAGACTATCAACCTTGTGTCCCCTCAGTGAAGTCACATCTGGTGCAGCAGTACCCAGCACAGAGCCTTGCACAGAGGAGATGCTCAAGAAAAGTTTTCTGAACTGAACTTGAGTGCAGCCTCCTGTGTCATCCTTGTGCCAGTAGTTAGTGGGTTCATAGCAGGTCCCATTTCACTAGAAACTGCCCATGCTCTACTCAGGAAGCCCTCTCCCCCAAGCAGAGGTGGTCATGCTTTCCTCTGTGCCCCTGTCACTGTGGGCCAGGACTTGGAGCTCTGGAATGAGTCTCTGGGCCTGCACTTGCCCCTCCTTTCCACCATCCAGAGTACAGACCCTTCCTCTTCTAGTTCCAGGTGAGAATGGTGCCAAGGGTGTCCAGAAAAAGTTCAGACCCAGGAGAAGGCAAGGTAGGGGACACAGTGGTACCTGAGGCTCCTACCATCATCAAGGACCTGCCATCACTGTCCCTGTTGAAGGATGAGGACACTGAAGCAGAGGGTCTGACACTTGTCTGAGGGCACACAGCCGGTAAGCCTCACTGAGTCAGAGGCTTCAGGCCAGGCTGGAACCCTCCAGGTGGCTGCCAGTGCTGAGAACATGGGATTCCAAGAGAGCCCTATGGCAGGCACACCCAGAAATGCTCCAAAGGGATGAGGCTGGTGCTGGGATGGGGACCATGTGTGAAGGAGCATGGGCACAAAAGACCCCTGGTAGGGCCCCTTCAGCTTCCTAAGACATCTTTTCCCATAGTGGGCAGGGACTGTGACTGGCCTGGTTCCTGACACCCTTTCCCTGGGCACTCATTGCTCCTCCAAGGCCCCATGGCTCCCTTCCTAGGGGGCACTGGGGGGTGAGCACTCCAGTGGGAACCAGCTGGAGGTGGCCCACCAGCAGGTGGGAGACACAGGCCTGGATCCTGCTCCTCCTCTTCCCTGTGTGCCCTGGGGCAAGGCATGACTGTGTCTGGACAGACCTGGCCTCCTGAGTGGGCCCTCAAGAAATGGGAGGGCCCAGCTCTGAAAAAAGAAGCAGCTGGCCAAGAGCTCTTACCTGTGGTAGTGCCCAGATGGCTCATGCCTGGCAGGCCCCCAGGAGAGAAGACCAAGGGCAAGGCAGAAACCAGGCAGGGGCTGCCTGTAAAGGAAGTGGAGAGCAGTGGGTGGGTAACAGGAGAGGGAACCTCACCCGGGCCCAGGGCTTCATACCTTTACATCTCTACCATGGCCTGCTTGGCAGGCTATAACATTCCCTAAACTGAGGCTCGGGGAGGACAGGCCTACGGGAAGCGGCAGAGCTGGATTCACATTCATGACTGGTTGACTAAAATTCTTGTCAGGGTGTCCTGGGTGGTGGATGGGGGCCAAGAACCAGTGTTCACAAAGCACCTACTAAGTGCAGGCACTTGCTGGGAACTCTGCACACAGACTCTCTAAGCCTCACTCCACCTGAGTGGTGAGTGCTCCCCTTACCCATTTTGCAGAAGAAGAAACTGAGGTTTGCAGAGGAGAAAGTTAGTGTCAGTCAGTCCTGGCAGTGCAAAACTGAAGCTGGGTCTGTGACTCCCAGAGCCACTGGCATAAAAAAAGAGGGGAGGGTCTGATCAGGGGTAGGTGGGCGGTGCTCACCTGAGCCAGGTTGAGGAACTTGTATTTGTGATATGATGGACCCAGTGGCAGTTGGCGGTCATGTGGTCAGAGCGGTCAGTGATGTTGTGAGTGTCCATGCCCAGACAGTGGTGGAATTGCCCTTGAAGATCTGGGGAAAGAGGGACAAGGATGGTGCTCTTATGGGTGGGTGTTGCAAGCCAGAGAGGAACCCACCTCTCGATGACATCTCCTCAGCCTGCCTTGTGCATTCGGTGTTGGGGGTTGGACTGTGGAGTCTCTCCCCTGGCTGTGTGAGGCTTCCTCTGCCCCAATCCCAGAACCCAGTCTCTGCCCAGCCTGGGCACCCCTCATCTGCACTATCAGGATGCCAAAGATGATGAAGAAGGCACAGCAGATGAGCACAATGTTGCCAGTGGGTTTGAGGGAGGAGATGAGTGTCTCCACCATAAGCTTCAGGCTCGGTGTCCTGCCGGTGACACTGCAGGTAGGGAGATGCCAGGTTCATGAGCCCTCAGCTAGGCTGGCAGGCAGCCCCCATTCACCCTGGAGTCACCAGGACTGAGCACCCTAGTGCTCACCAGGGCTGAACATCCTAGGGCATGAGGAAAGTCAGAGGGAATGCAGAGAAAGTGACCAGGCAACCTAGATATAGGCAGAGCAGGAGGTGAGCTGTACCCAGGCCTCATATCTGCAGCAGGAGAAGGTGCCTGCCCTCACCCCTCACTGTACCCAGCCCCTCAGGGTCCACACTACACCCTGGTCTAGGGACTGATGTCCAGAGATGGCAGTGAGCCATCCAGGGACACAAAGAGTGGGGTAGCAATACTGGGATCTACCTTCAACCCTGCTCTTCCAGTATACACCAACCCCAGGGTCTTCCAACCCCTCCCCCAAGGACAGAGCTCAGGGTGCTTGGCAGGCACTCTGGGTGGGTGGGGAGGAGTGGGGTGAGGGCCCCATTTGATCTGGTGGCCTCTCTGTACAGTGCAGCATCACTCTCCCCCATCGGCCATGGGTGTAGGGCAAGCAGGAGCCACAAGACTTCTCCCTGCCACGGACATGATGTCAGTGATGGGCAAGAAGACAAGGAAGCCCTTCAGCATGTTCCAGCTGATGTGCAGGTAAGCCAGCTCCTGGAGTACAGGCCTAGCCAGACCACCATGGGCGGGGGTGAGGCTTGGCTGTAGCTGGAGGGGTGGGGCAGTGTTGGGGGCAGCTGGGCTCCACTTGAGGGGGCTAGATGAGGCCAGGTGGGCATCCAGGGGAAAGGGGAGGGGTCAGGCAGGTAGTGGCCTGGAGGGCCCAGTGTGCCAGCCCAGTTAGGTTTCACGGCACCTCTGGCAAACCCAATTCAAAACTACCGGCCCTGGGAAGCCCCCTAGACGGAATGCTTCCCCTGCCCCACATTCCAGCAGGTGCTTCCCTCACATTCAGTGTTCTGTGCACTTGCTTGTCTGGTGGCGTTGTGACTCCTGTGAGTGAGGATATGGGTGACCTATTTTGGGTCATGGGAGCCCAGCCTAGGGGCTGGCACCCAGCAGGGTGGGCTGTGGAGCAATGAGTGGAATGAGACCAATGGCAGGGGGTGGCAGACGATACAGGTGAAGCCAGGAGCTATCCTTAGTGTCATCTTGCCCACGAAGATGGCCATAAAGATGTAGCTGGATACGTTGAGGAAGATACATTCCTGAAAGCCTCTGGAGATGCCATGGGCCCAGAGGCCCCCACAGCTGCCCTGGTTGCCACCTCGCAGTTCACGGAGGCTTTTCCCTCTCCAGAGGCAAATTCCCTGTCCTACCTCCCCCATGGCATTTGGTGAGGTCTCCCTGCCCTGCTCAGCCCTGGCACTCTGTCCTTGAGCCCAGCCCTGCCCTGCCCAAGGGCTGGAGCCACTCACTGTGCTGCCAGCCTTGATCTGAGGTCACTCCAGGGCGATGGTGATGCCCTTGAGAAACATGAAGAGATGAAGGTCAAGACAACATAGTCAAAGAGCTCGTGGGTAACGATAGGGAGGGCTGGGGCCCAGCACCCCTGGCTGAGCCCGGTGCTGCTCAGAGCCAGCAATTTGCCAGCCCAGCAAGCAATGTCTGCAGAGATGAACACCGCAGGCACTGACACTCCATGATGGTGATCAGCTGGTGCCGGCCACACGCACCACACACATCCCCATCATGGATTCAGGGAGCCACTGCCATCCAAAAGGCACCTCCTCCTCCCTCACAACAGCTGTTTTTCCATTCACCATACCTGTTAATCTTTTTCTAATGGACCATCCATGACACCTGCAAGCACTTCTCTCAGACAGAGACACACAGATGAATACAGGGGGAGCCCAAGGAGGGAGGGAATGTAAAGACGATGGGGTAGAGATGGACAGAGATGGACAGACAGATACAGACAACGGAGTGAGGGGCAAAGGCGGAGTGTAGAGACACAGGGAGAGAAAAGCAGGTACACAGACTTGAAGAAGGACCAGGACAATGGTGCAATGACACCAAGGGAGTTAGAGGTATGGCCAGAAAGACACGAAAAGAGCAGTCAGACAGACAGACAGACAGATGGCAGAAAGTTTGCTGAAAGTCATGAAGACACACCTAGTGAAGGTGGAGGTGCTGAAGGCTGAAAACACCAGATTCAGTCAGAGGCAGGAGGTGGGGTGGCAGTGGGAGCCTTCAAGTCCCTGCCTGATGCAGGCTTGGGTGGCACCAGGCTGCCTAGCCTCTGCCATTTCTGCAGGGGTAGATAAAGGGGTGCAGGGGTCAGTTGGCCCCCAGGAATTCCCCCAGCCGAGCACCATCCCCATCATAATAATGGCAGCTAGCGTTGGTTAAGCCTCTTCCATGGGCTAGGTACACTGAGCATATTCCATGCATTACCTCCTTGCAACCTCAAGCCCTATGTTATCCCCATTTTACAGACAGGGAGCCTGAGACTCAGAGGCAGTTGACTGGCCAGGGTCATGTCCAGGCTGCAGGAAAGTCAGATCTCAATCTCAGGTCTCCTCCCTTTGGCCACAGCCCCACTTCCATGGCCCAGGGGCCTTCACCTGCTCCACTTTTCTGATGAGACCCCAGCTCAGCACAGACATACCACTTGCTTGCAAGTCTTCCATGGCTTTCCATTGCCCTAAGGACAAAACTGGCCCCAAGGTCCTTGTGATAAACAGCCCTCCTGGCCTCTTGCACTTTCTGCCCTGCCCCTTGTCCATATTCTTCTTGAGGGCTTAGGGTCTTTTGAGGGGGGACACAATCATGGCTCACTGCAGCCTCAACTCCTGAGCTCAAGCAAACCTCCTGCCTCAGCCTCTCAAGTAGCTGGGACTACAGACATGCACCACCAAATTTGGTTAATATATATTTTTTATTTTTGTAGAGACAGTGTCCCACTATGTTGTCCAGGCTGGTCTTGAACTTCTGGGCTCAAGCAATCCTCCTGCCTCAGCCTCCTGAGTAACTGGGATTACACGTGTGAGCTACTATATTTGAATAATTAATTTTTTTTTGGTAGAAATGGGGCCTTGCTAAGTGGCCCAGGCTGGTCTGAAACTCCCAGGCTGAAGTTATCCTTTTGCCATGGCCTCCCACAGTGCTGGAATTACAGATCTGAGCCACTGAGCCCAGCCAGAGCCAGGACCGAAACCCAAACATAGTATGATTGATTTGCCTCTCTAGGCAGTGGCCTTGCAAGAGTACAAGAGGAGTGAGGTAATAATACCTGCCTTGAGGATGGCTGGACTGACTAGCGCCATGCTGGCTCAGGGCCTGGTGTGGTGCACAGTAAATGGTGGCCCGCTTCTATGAGGGAAAAGCACCTGCTTGGTAGATGAGGAAGGTGGTCCCTGTGACTGGGCAGGAGACGCACAGTGGGAATAGCCTTTCCCATCCCTCAGCCTGGTTGGGGAGCCACGTGGAGCCTGCTGTACCCAGAAGAGGCTCTACCAGATTCGAGGTTAGAGAGCTTGCTCTGGTTGATGTGGCAGAAGGAGGGAAAAAGGACAGGCCTGAGAAGGAGATCCTGAGGCTTGAGCAGAGAGCGTGACGTGGACTGAGGCTGGACCTGCCCCCTCTGTGGTGTCACCGTGGTTAGGGTGGGTGAAAAGGCAGGGACCAATTGTACCCTGGCACAGAAAACAGCCCTGATGTGTAGCGACTGACAATTTCTATGGTGTAAATATTCCCTCCATGACTACCAACTGTTTCATCACTGGCTGATAAAACTCCTGAGTTTGGAAATTAGCTCTCACAAGCTGGCTCCAGCAAGCCACTGGCAAGGCCAGGGCTCGAGTATAGCAGAGTTGTGCAAGCCTCCTCAGTGCTGCCCTGCCTGGAGACTGCAGCCAGCCCCTCAGGACTCATTCCCTGTGGGCCTTTTGTAGGAATGCTGCCTGCTACTCTCCCGCTCTACCCCTGCAGGCCTGGGTCAGGCACTGGCCAGAAGCTGGACTTTAGGCAATGGGGTTCCTGGGGCCCTGTCTTACCAGCTTTCCCCTGTAGACAGCCCTCCTGCCAGCCCTCCTCAGGGACCTTTTAAATGGCTGGCAAACCAGCAGCTCTGAACAGAGCATTGCAGCAGCCCCAGGAACCCCATTTAGGTAAATTGATTGGAGCCTGTGCTTGGTGAGCTAAGGAAGAGGGAGGTGTGAGTGTGGCCCCATGAGGTGCAGCATATGGGGCCTCTGCAGAAGAAGGGATGCAGGGAAGCAAAGAGAATGTCAAAACTCCAAGCCCTCCCTGGGTGTTGGTCCTGCCACAGAGAAAAGTGGGTCCAAACCTGGCCCCTGAGTGGCAGTAGGATCTTGGGTCAGTGGCTTCCACCTCTTGGGCCTCAGGATGGACAGCTATTGGGTGGGGATGCTTGCAGGGCTGAGGAGTGGGTCCAGGGAGCCACCCCACCCAGGGGCTGGTGGACAACAGAAGCCAGAAAATGATGTTTTTCCAAATGGGGACAGGACTGGACCTATCATCCAGGCTGTCAGCCCTGGGTGGGGCCTATGGACTGGGCATCTGCGCTGACTCCACAGACCCTCCCCTCTGTGTTGCCACAGAGGCCCTGCTGTCCTCTCATGCACATCCTCCCTGAACTTCTACCACCTTCAGGAAGCTGTCCCCTTTCCTAATCACTATCCCCCCTGGAGTCTGCCAGCCCCAT